GGGAGCAGAACAGGCAGATCGACGAAGTACACTGCTGAGGGGAGCAGTGGGCGGGTCAGGAGAGGTCTGCCACGCCATGTGGTCACTCTGGGGCAGGGAGCGAACTCATGCTGAGGTGGCTTTAGCTTCTTAGTACAGTGTTTAAACCTCTGTGCCACCAGGGAGGGCCCAAGAACAGATTTTTTTCACCCCTCATCAGCCAACTTTTGCATCCGTGAAGTGCTACTGTCCCTAACGAGAATGTGGGGATTAAGACTGGCTACTTTTGCTTCCACTTCCCTCCATCATAATTTTCCTTGTATCAAATGCTTTTTGGTGTGGACACAAGTATTTTGGGAGTTAGCGAAGAACTTAAGTGGGAGATATATTTCCTTTGGACTCAGTAGGTTATATTTATGTAGTTTACAGTTACTTCATGTATAATTAAGTTATTGCTAGCAATTTCAATATAGGAGTAGCTTCCAAGAATACACCTACCTCTACATCCAGAGTAAGAAACTCAACAGTATTAAGATGAAGTGTTAAGATGATCGATATCATTAAGATAATCCTTAAGTTGACCTACGAAGCAATGCTAATTCAATGTCCCAGATACAGTGCCAGAGTGGCTTCCACCTTTTCCCCTTTTGTGGGTAAAAAAGGGGTTAGGCAGTAGCTCCTTGTGACCTCATTTCCCTCACATGGCCCCACCGAGTTAATATTTCCCATTCTGATCACAGCACCTGTGATGAGGGTTAAGTCCCATACTCTTTTTCTAGCTTGGATGATCATTTTTATTCATTCTTCTTGGGACCTTTCTCTCTCTTTTTCTCTCCCCAGATCAACAGTTAAACATCAACTCTATTTTACATCTCTCACAGTCTTCTTTTTTGATTCTCAAGAATAACTGCCAAACATATCCTCTTGTAAATCAAAGGCTTTACTTTCAATTATAGCATCTGATCTGTAATTCAAATGTTTATTTTAAAGATGAAAAAAGTCACCATTTTTCTCTGTTTTAATGATCCTGCTTTTCTGACAATTATTTTGTGGTTGCCTCTCACTGATAAGAAAATAGTCATACACAAAGACGAAGAAAAGGGAAAACTGTCAAGGTTGATGTGTTGATGTGGTGTGTATTTGACACAGCTTTATTTTATGGATATCTGCATACAGGACATCTCTTCTAAAATATGTAAATTCCTTAGAGTCAGAAGTTGAAGTTGTGTCATTCTTTATAAACTTTTTATAAAGCGCCAAGTATTTTTTTTTTGTAAAGAGCAAGAAAATAGTAAGTGTTTGCTGAATTAAATTCAAAAATATAATACAGGTATTTGAAAATCTAAGGGCACAGCCAGCTTGAATAACATGGAGGCATAATAAATACATAGACACTGAGATATGATCATAAATTGACTCAGGTGTTCAAATTAATATTAATAATGTATTATGTAATCAATAATATATAGTTATTAATACTATAAAACAATGATATTAAATATTAAAATTAGAAACATGCAGAGGATTGCATTAGCCTTGCTGAGAAGGCAACATCATAAAAATATGTTTAAGGTAAGTGACACAAATTGAAATAGTTCTTACGCAAAATTACTCCAAGTTTAATTCAAATAAATTAAACTTGTTTGATTAGTTGTATCAGGACAGCCAACTCAATATCAAATTATTTATATAAAACAAAGGGATGTTAATTGGGGATTATTTCAAATAAAATTTAAAAACTGATCCTTTGAATTTAGGTGGGTGAGATATTGTCTGCCAACAATTTGCCATTGATTGTTCTTTCTGGGGCTATTGTTTTTATTCAGGTGACAAAGGGGAGAAAGGTTTGCCTGGGATCCCTGGAGGGAAAGGCAAAGCAGGTACATATTTTTCTACTTCTAGCATTATTACAAATGTCTTCATGTCAAAAAATATAAAAACTTATAGAAAAAATAGAGTTTTTCAGGGTGCTTAACTTTTTTTTTTTTTTAAGATTTATTTATGCACAAAGAACTCGGGTACAGGCCAAAGGTGCCGGTGGCAAGAGGCTTCACCAGAGACAGAGTGGAAAGCAGAATAGGCTGACTGAGAAGTACACTGCTGAGGGGAGCAGCGGGCGGGTCAGGAGAGGTCTGCCACACCATGTGGGTCACCTCTGGGGTGGGGATCGAACTCACACTGAAGTAGCTTCAGCTTCTTAGTGCTGTGCTTTAACCCGCTGCACAACCCGGGAGAGCCCAGAGTGCTTAACTTTTAGGGAAAGGAAAAAGGGAAAATTCTTTTTTACCCCCTGGTAACTTTCAGACCTCTGGGGTTGAGTGATGGTTCGTTTACTCCACCCTATTATGATTATGCTCAGAGACAAAACAACACTTCAGGAAGCAGCCCTCACTCCTCTTGACCAAGAGGAAATTCCTCAAGGGCCTCAGAGACAGAACCAAGTAACATGTTTGACATTCCACCAGCACCTCAACCCAATACTGGCCAGCAATTTGCCAGATGCAAACTGGGCAGATTCAGAAAGTCCACATGGTGACAGAACACCCTCCAGGGGCCAAGGGCTTCTCCCTGAGTGAGAGAATTTTACTTTCACTGCTATGTGCAGAGAAAGAAAGTAGATGGTTCTTGGAGATCATCAGTCATGTTTATCCACAAGGATGTAGTGAAGATCAATTCCAAGAATTGTTTTAAATTCTCTATCATTAACTGTGTGCATAAGTCAAGTCACAGATTCCCCCTCTCCCCTCTACCTTTGGCTGATACAATTTCTACCACAAAGGAAAATAAAAAAAGAAATGTTTACATGAAGCAGCCATCAAATAGGAAAAAATGGAATCATTTGAATTTCACATAATTTTCCTCACTGCCTACTCTGTCAAAATAGCAGTAGTTGTGATGAAAATGGTAAGTGAACGAATGGGGATGAATGGCAGAAATTAAAACTGTATTTAATCCACAAAAGCAAACTGGCTCTCAAAAGTGTAACTTGGGCCTATTTACAAGATTGAAACTCAGCTTTTAAAACATTCAAGCTATATTCCAATTGGAGAATCAGAATTAACTTTTGATTTCATGAAAGACTTCTGTTTTAGGAGAGTTGTATGAGCCCATAAACAATGCAGAAACAGAATAGAAGACTGGCTGGAAATATGTTTCAAGGAAGCTGTAAAGATTTTATGCTCAGATTGGAGAGGCACATTCTGTGTTCAAAAAAATCGTGCCAAATGGTCCAGGATATGTGTACAGTGGTTTGTCATATTTATGCTTCTTAAAAATCTGGTTTACAACTGTATTTTCATTTATTCAATATATTTTAAAAGATCTTTTCTGAATCCCTTAAGGCCATGTAAACTGGAAACCTTTAAATAAAAATATTAAAAATACAGCCATTCACAGAGCGATATAACTAGTCTAAAAATGACACTAAATATTGGGAAGAGAGTAACCGCTGTTTCCCATTAATCTGCGTGTGCTTTGACATGAGCTCATGTTGTCATCTCAAAGGCACTGTCTGTGATTGTGGAAGGTACCGGAAAGTAGTTGGACAACTGGATATTAGTGTTGCCCGCCTCAAGACATCTATGAAGTTCGTCAAAAATGGTGAATATATTTTCTTTCCTTTGTGTTATTTATCTGTTGCTTGAATCTCTTTCAACTCTACAATTCCCAGATTCCCAGGAGAAAAACCCTGGATTAGGCAAAAGTCTACTGAGATGGTGTCACCATTCTCTTGAAATGTTAATTACCCAGTCAGAGTCTAGGGCACTTCAGGCCCACCAGGTGGATTCAGACATACTTGTACTGGGGTAAGAAAGAGCTGCTTTCCTGAAGAAAGAGGAATGGAAAAAAGGCCAGGTGTGGTATATTAAGAACTAAAAGTTACAGTGAAAACGAAGCTGAACAAGCATTGCAGAAGATAGATGTAATATTAAAAACAAGCATTCGGGATAATAATGACTATTACTGCTACCAGTAGATAAACTAATTCAACTGAAGCTAAGATGATCTTGTTCACAGATAAACAACTAATGAACAGGAATCCGAGTACATGTTTTACTGATAACTCCACCCTCAGTACAAATAGCAGCATAATAATGTGTTTCTCTATCTTTTGCAACTACCCATATTACTCATTTTTGTTATTTCTTGTCTATTACTCATGATAGCCAGTAATGAAGTTCTTAAAGCTGGTCTTGTATGTTCCCCTTTGAGATAGTTTGAATGAGGGAACTTGTGAGGTTATTGCTATACAGCTTGATTCTATCATAATCCAGCTATATTTTTTATACATTATTGGAAGTATACAGATGTCATCTTGTGTTCACCATCACCTTTTAATTCTGGAAGCAAAGAAAATATCTGACATTGGCTAAACCTGAATTATATGTGTGGTTATAATTCTACTGCAATTGCTGTTTCAACAGGGACTCTCATGAGTAAACCAGATCTCAGAGGTTTAACACAGAGCGATTGATCTTAACATCTGAGTGGTCACAAAATTCTTTGTGAATAATTTGTGGACTTTCAAACCTTTATGGATAAACCGTCCCCCACCCCCAATATATATACACCAGTTTATGACCTCAGGATGATTCTGCGTGTTAATTCTGTCTTGAAACTTACTCTGCAGCTCAGTCTGCTAAGTGAAATATAGACAACCTCAGTCAGTAGACATATTTATAGCCCAGGAATTTGACCCAAAGTAGAACAAATTCTGTATTATTTTAACATCAGGATAGTGCATTGTTACCGTTCCTGCAGTGTGTGGACACTGAGCCTCCAGAGACTTGGCCATGGCTTTGAAGACAGTTACAGCTGGGTGGAATCAGAAGAGACTGAGCTGACTTCATGGGACAGTGGAAGCATGGGAAAGTGCACAGGGGTATGGGAAATCATGTCTTAGGAGGTGTAGAGAAGAGGTTTCCCAATGAAACAATAAGAGAAGCCTTCCCAGGTATGCACCTGGAAGTGAAAAGGCTGTGCTCGTGGGAATGGAATTGTGGCCGAAGTGTGAAGAAAGAGTGAGGGAAATCATGTGAGTAGTTCTTATGACAAGTCTGTTAAAATAACTGCCCCAGAGCTGCATGGGACGTTAGGGGGAAAGCAAGTAGGACAAATGATTAGCGTTCATTCCAATAATAAAAAGGAGAAACAATATTAAACCAGTGCCTCCCTCCTCATAGACCCTTCCACTCACTGCTGAATGTTGAAGAAATGAATTGAAATACAGCAATATCACATACTAGCCTTTTCCCTCTTTGAGATATGTAATCATGTCCTCTATTCCTCTCTGCAAAGTCATAGCAGGGATTAGGGAAACGGAAGAGAAATTCTACTACATCGTGCAGGAGGAGAAGAACTACCGGGAGTCCCTGAGTCACTGCCGGATCCGCGGCGGGAAGCTCGCCATGCCCAAGGATCAGGCCTCCAACGAGCTCCTCGCTGATTACGTGGCCCAGAGCGGCTTCTTCCGGGTCTTCATCGGGGTGAACGACCTTGAGAAGGAGGGACAATACGTGTTTACAGACAATAGCCCACTGCAGAACTACAGCAACTGGAGGGAGGGGGAGCCCAGTGACCCCTACGGCCATGAGGACTGCGTGGAGATGCTGCGCTCGGGCCGGTGGAATGACACCGAGTGTCACCTGACCATGTACTTTGTCTGTGAGTTTGTCAAGAAGAAAAAGTAGCTCCCACGTGGGCTGCTTCTCTGCGATTCCTGTGGCAGTTATTTTTACCCATCCTTTTCTTCTAAAAAAAGGACTCAGTAAGAAAGGCCAATGGCAGGTTTAGGATCTCCATTGCCATGCTCTTTGAAGAGTTAGACATGTTTGTGCGATGATGTTGCTGACCCGTAGCTCACCAGGTCATAGGGTCCTGAGAGTTCGTGTAACTAGTCACGAGGAGGGGGCTGTCTGTGTCTCAAGTGCCACCTCTCTTTAAAGCTCTAAACGACTCTCTATATAACCCGGGGAATACTGGATGCTTGGGAACCTTAAGTATACCCTAGGCCTGCCCAAAGCTGTCAGGCCTATGGAAGCCTTCTGCAAGGTACGTCAGGATACAGTCTGTCTTTGAAGCCAAAATCGCCAAGCTGTGACCTATCACCAACCTGGCCACATCCACCCTTGCAAAGCTCTCTAGTTTGCACATAGAAATACTTTCCCCCCAAACCTCTGTATGAACAGTGACCTACTCCAGACCACATGGAATCATACTTTTTCTGCTTCTGAGCTACCGTCTTCAGGGAATTTATCTAAGAATACCAGACAATTGTCCATAAGTTAGTCTCAGATTCCCAAATATTAACTCCCTGATTTGAAGAAATGGGGAGGGGGGGAAGGGAAGGGTATATTCCCAAATAATATAATTTATAATCCTCCAGTGAACTCGCCTCCCTACTACATCCATGTGACTATATTTTTCTTTTTCTTAAATGTGTCAGCTTTCCTCCTGTTAAGCCTGTGGAATGAAGGAAGGGTTTGGGGGAGCCTTCAAACCACCCCAGTAGCTTTCAGGTATCACCAACACTAAATCTCTGTCTCTATTTCCTTAATTCTAATGTATCACTCATGGTGACATTCTCTGGGAGACCGCTTACCGCCCACAACTATATGTTCTAAGTCCCCCACACCAGAAGTCCCTAACTGGTATTCTCATCACAGAAGTCTGTCAAGCAAGGAGCTAGGAATATGCCTAGGATTCACATACTCAGCTGATAAAAGTCTGTTTTGAACTACAGCTTGAATATTAAGGCAGCTTTCATTTGAAACTTTAAAACAGTTCAACAAAACTCTCGATGAGCCCCTTATGAACTTCTACTCAGTTATGGTGTGTGACATGTGATCAGACTGTTTCTATTGCTGGCAAAATAGCTAATGAAATAAGAGAGATAGATCAGGAACATACGTTCACCTTAAGCCATCTGTCCATGATTTCACCCATGACTAACTGGTTATGAGACAGAATATAATAGGTTACTTCTGTGAGCTTAAAAAGGGTCATAAACCCAGGTCCTACAGGGGCTGTGGAGATGACAGAAATAAATAAGGGGGGGTCACGGCACACGGACACAGCTTGCCTTGGAAAACCTACTGTTGTTACATGTTCTGCTATTGCAAGAGAAGTCAAAAAGTTGAAGCTTTATATTTTTATATTTTTAAATGTTGGAAACTTGTCATTTTTTTAACCCATTGTATTAGTCATCTATAATGCAGTCTGCAGTCTTAAATCATGGCCTTTCCATTTCTTCCCTGTAGGGAAATGCTCTGAAGGTCTCACCACATCAGACCTCATTAGGATGCAGTTAATAACAGTGTCAAGTCCCTCTTGGATCTCTCTTTCAACTAAGCTCCTCATGGGAACTTGTTCAATGTTTGCCATTCAGAAAGTTAACTTCTTAGTTCCTTATTCACTCTTGTGAGCAAGTGGTATAGTATATTTTGAAGGTGGGAAAGTTGACTAAAAAGTACAAAGCAGACACCTTATCAAAACCAGTATTTTTGAGTTGAATTCCAGCCTACAGAGGAACAGCAATCTAGAAACACTTGAAGAAAATAGGGACTTGAAAGAGGGGAAAAAATGGGACGCACAACAAATGTTCCTGAGGTAGCTCACCATGGGGTCCATATTTCACTTTGTTCTAAAGCCCAGACTATAAAGAGTGATTGTGTGTAACCATTTTTACTGTAATCATTATAATAATAATGTTACTTTCAATGATTTCGCTATATTGCCAATCTTTCCATGATAAGATTGACAATGCTTCAAAGAATAGAATTCATCTTTCAAACTTGCCTAGAAAAAATTTTGAAAGCATGAAACTTAATTGAATTTACTATAAAACTTAGATTTTATGAGGTACTTTGTGCTTTATAAAATATTTTCACATATCATTTTTCATTTGATCCCAGCAAACTCTGAAATATGAAGGGCAGGCATTTTTATTGTGAGCATCCAGTGAGAAAATGAGGGTCAAAGAAGTTAAGCAATTTACCAAATCAAAACACTTGAGAGAAAAGTAGAAATCCAGGCTGATGGTCATCACTGCCAAGTCACTGCTCTCACCAGCCTCTGTTTACTGCTCTAGTGATGAATGGAAATACAGCTACAATTACCTCGTGATAGCAGAGATGCAATTAAGCTATCTTGCTTATTTTCCAGAGTTAAAGATTCAGGTTAAAGATATGCTGGGGATTTTGAAACTTGCATTCTATACTTGGTGTTCACTGATTTATTTAATTCTTGAAAGTCTATCCAAGACTTCCATAATGAAGAGTTTACTTCATACAGCCTCCCTAGCAAATCTGGGGAAAATGACAGTCAAGATTTACCAAAAATAAAGTGAGAATTTGGAGGAAGGGGAAGGAAAATAAATCAATGAAAATAAGTAATTATTTGTCCCAGTAAAAGGATTTGCTAGGAAACCCTTTTAAGTGCTTAGCATTTAGCATCCTTTCATTCTCAAAGAGTGGAAATTATACTCCGCTTTTCAGGGACACATCTGAGCACCTCCAATGATAAGCCCAAGACTCCAAAGAAAGAGAATTTAAAAAATCATTCAGAATCTCACAGTCCTGCTTCTCAAAGCTACACCCTCCTTAACTAGGCAAGTAAAAATATCTTATGTCCAGAGTTATTGCCCAAACACTGTAAAAAGTATCCTGTCTGTGTTGACACAAATATAACAAACTCTGGTTACAGTTCAGACAACTCACTCTAAAAATGGCTGTTATTTAAATGTATTTCATCCTGCTTTGATCTCTGTTATCCAACTGTGTACACTGCCTTTATTATTAACCAACTAGTTCATAGTGCTCTGGATTGCATATTTTGAGACAATAAGACAAATGTATTTATGAAGCATTTAATGTTAAATGCCACTTGATAATTGCATATTTTGAAGACAAATATATTTATGGAGCATTTAATGTTAAGTGCCACTTGATAATTGCATATTTTGAGGCAATAAGACATCTGTATGACAGGAAAGATTAGCAGTGGCACCTGCCATACCACCAACAGACTGAATGATTGCAGTATTACCTCTGATAAGAACATGATTGTGGGATCAATGCAGGGTAACATATGTTTAATGGTATCATTTTGAAAATAAGAATCTGGTGTTATGACTTCCTTGACTAATGCCAGTATACCACAGACTAGCCACATGAAAGGCAATATCCTTAGTGCTTCAAACCTCTTTTCCTTGGCCTATATATATATTTCTTCCTCACAGTTTTGTGACAGTTAAAGAAAGCAGTAGACAAGGTGAAAAGCCAAGTGTCCGCTTGACCTTAGTCATTACTATTTGTTACATGTTGGAAAATGAAAATATTTTAAGATTGTTTAAAGATTAATTTTTAGTGGAAATAACATATTATAGTTTATAACAGATATACCTACATGCATACCTACTATACATGTATATTTATATGTTATGTATATGTGCAGGCACAGAAAGACAACTTTTTAAATTCATTTATAGATTAACATTTTTGTCTTCAGGAAAGAAATCTGTTCAGATTGAAGATTAGAATCAGAGCAAAGTTCATAGCTGAATATTATTAATTACAAAATCATCTATATATTTTCAAGCATCCAATTCCTCTAAACCAACTTTTATCATATAAAAGGTTAAATATTATTTTTTAACTTAAAAGTTAAAACATTTGTATTACCTTGAGATTGCAACTTCTTCATAAGATAGCTAAGTCCCTTAACATTGGAGGGGAGGAAAATGCCTTTTCAAGTAAGAATGAAAGGAAAGGAATCATTTACCACAGATATATACATCCATTTTTTTAATGAATAGAAAACTTTCCTTAATGCACCTCTTATACATGGCCATTTTGCCCATAGTTCAACATTTTAGTAATTTGCTAACCCACTGGAAAATGTATCTTTATTGTGAATCACATATACATCTGTCTTCCACCCACTTCCTGCTCTACATTCATTTTACTGCTGATAACTCTGAGAAGAGCTGGATAAGATGCTTAAGAAGATGCAAATAAGAGCAAGGAGCACTGGGTCCTCACTAGGTTACCGGTTGAGAGGACAGACATGCAGTATTGCATATTTCTCTAAACTTGATGGCATGTTCCACTTCCAGTGAGCACACACAACTGAGGCCTGAGACACAGATGTAGTCAGAAATGATAGGCAATATCATGTGGCCCCTCAGTCATAAATAATCTGTGACTAGGAAAGGGCATGGGGTTTGGGGGAGGGGGCAGGGTTCAATGACCAGTGGAAGTGGAGATTAAGGAGTAGATGGTTTGCTAAGTTCAGCTGGGCAGGTTCAGGCCTGTGACTGGTGTTGATGGGAGAGTCCAGGTCCATGGTGACTGAGTAGGAAAAGTGATGGCTTAGGTAGAAGTAGACCTCATTAACTCATCAATTCACCTAATTTTTTTTAAAGATTTATTTATTTATGCATACAGAACTGGGGTACAGGCGAGAGGTGCAGGGGAGGTAAGAGGATTCATCAGAGACAGAGTAGGGAGCAGAACAGGCCGACTGACAAAAGTACACTGCTGAGGGGAGCAGCGGGCAAGTCAGGAGAGGTCTGCCATGCCTTGTGGATCACCTCCAGGGCAGGGATTGTACTCATGCTGAAGTGACTTTAGCTTCTTAGTGTTGTGCTTTAACTTGCTGCGCCACCAGGGAGGGCCCTCACCTAATATTT